CCATCTCAGAGAGGGCAGTCATCTGAGAAATGGGCTAGCCTGATTTTCACAATAGGATAGACCTTTACTACAGTCAAAACACTTATTTCAAACAGAAGAGCAATACATTGGTAATTACATTTTTGCCAGATGCCATCTTTACAAACACTGGGTTCGGTGGCTCATACCTATAATCCCAGCACTCTGGGAGGCTGAGACGGGTGGATCACTTGAGGTCAAGAGTTTGAGACCAGCTTGGTCAACATGGCAGAAACTGTCTATACTAAAAGTATAAAAATTAGCCAGTTCAAGACCAGTCTGGGCAACATAGAGACCCCATCTCTCTAAATACTTAAAAAAAAAAAAAAAAAAAAAAAAGAGTCTTACAGAGCATGATCTTTAGCTTCCTCCCCCCAAGTTTTTAGGCTACCTAGGGACTCCACTCTAAGCTATCTTATTAGCATAAACATTATCAAAGAGGCTCATTATGAATAAAAAGACACCTATCCCTCAGGAATTGTCAAAAGTTTTAGCATAAAGACTAAATACATTTTATGTTATATCACAGTTTTTTTTTCCAAAAAGCCCACCTTTCCGCCTTTCAACACTGCTAGGAGTCAAGCTCCTCCCCAGACAGAAGCAAACTCAAAGTCTGATTACCAAAAACAAAAATATTTGCTTTTAGCTGATATCAGAATAGATCAACTAATTATGCCTTTTAATCTGCTTATTACTAAAATAGAAGAGAATATAACTTTGAGTAAAACGTTCAAATAAAGCAAAGGGCTGCAGTCAGCCTAAGTCACGGCAAGATGGCCCTGAAGGAAGACATAGGGAAAGAATGCCAGGGGCTCGCTGCAGTCAGAATCAGAGGGTGGTGGCCAGGCATGGTGGCTCAAGCCTGTAATCCCAGCACTTTGGGAGGCCGAGACAGATGGATCACCTCAGGTCAGGAGTTCGGGACCAGCCTGGCCAACACGGTGAAACCCCGTCTCTAATAAAAATACAAAAAATTAGCTGGGCATGGTGGCAGGTGCCTGTAATTCTAGCTACTTGGGAGGCTGAGGCATGAGAATCTCTTGAACGCAGGAGGTGGAGGCTGCAGTGAGCCAGGATTGTGCCACTGTACCCCAGCCTGGGTGACAGAGCAAGACTCTGTCTCGAAAAATAAAATAAAAAATTGGAAGGTGAGTCCACCAACTTCTAGGGAGCTATTGTATTCTGGCTGTAATTTCATCTTATTTGAAATGCATCTTATTGATCAATTCCTCACTCTATGTACAAGAACTAATTTCACATAACAAATACTAACACCACAGCGTGCCATCCAGAAGGAAACAAATCTTCGCGACCTCGGGACTGGCACATATTTGAAATGATAAAAAGAATCTTAAAAGAAAAAAAAATGATAAAGTGGATTTCTTCAAAAAGCCACATCTGGTTGTCAGGAGGTACTGTTAAGAAACTGGATAGAAAGGAGAGCAGGCCCCATGGCTCACACCTGTGATCCCAGCAATTTGGGAGGCTGAGGTGGGTGGATTGCTTGAGGTCAGGAGTTTGAGACCAGCCTGGCCAACATGGTGAAACCCCATCTCTACTAAAATTATCAAAATTAGTCAGGTGTTGTGGAGCAAGCCTGTAATCCCAGCTACCTGGGAGGCTGAGGCAGAAGAATTGCTTGAACTCAGGAAGTGGAGGTTGCAGTGAGGATTGCGCTACCGCACTCCAGCCTGGGCGACAGAATGAAACTCTGTCTCAAAAAAGAAAAAAAAGTCACATTAGCCGGGCATGGTGGTTAACGCCTGTAATCCCGTAATCCCAGTACTTGGGCAGGCAAAAGCGGGTGGATCATGAGGTCAGGAGTTCTGAGACCAGCCTGACAAACATGGTGAAACCCTGTCTCTACTAAAAATACAAAAATTAGCCGGGCATGGTGGCGGGCACCTATAGTCCTCGATACTCAGGAGGCTGAGGCAGGAGAATGGCTTGAAACCGGGAGGCAGAGGTTGCAGCGAGCCGAGATCATGCCACTGCACTCTCCAGCCTGGATGACAGAGAGAAACTCCGTCAAAAAAAAAAAAAAAAAAAAAAAGGCGCATCCGCTTATTAGGAGGTACTGTTAAGAAACTGAAAAGGGACCAGGTGCAGTGACTCATGACTGTAATCCTAGCACTTTGGGAGCTGAGGCAGGAGGATCACTTGAGCCCGGGAGTTTAAGACCAGCCTGGACAACATTTTTTTGGTCTGTAGAAAAAAAAATACCAAAAAAAAAAAAAACAGTAAAGCAAATAAATTAGAAAGGGAAGCCATAGACTTAAGAGAAAACAGTCATAATACCAACATCTGACAAAAGAATTGTCTCCAAAATATAAAGAACCCCTGCAACTCTGTGAGAATAGATGAACAAACCATTTAAATACTTTGCAAAACATGTGGTTGGCCAAGAGCACATGCAAAGATGCTCAGTGTAAGTCATCAGAAATTCTAAGTTAACACTATGAGAAAAAACTAACAGTAGAACGGCTACAGAGGCAAGTGTACCAAATGTTGGCAAAGATTTAGAGCAAGTGAATTCATACGCATTGCTCATAGGAATGTAAAATGGTATCAACCCTTTGGAAAACCATTTGGCAATCCGTCCAAGAATGCTCATATATTACTGTTAGTGAAAAAATGAGAGGCAACTAAATGTCCATTAAACAAGGAATGAATGAACAATGATACATTTTGGCAACCAATACTAATTAGGAATAAAAAGGAGTGAACTATTGCAAATACTTGAATGAATATTTAAAAAAAAATGCTGTGCCAAAGAATCCAGACACAAAAATGCATGATTTCATTAACATATAAAGTCCTAAAATATGCAAAACTTATCTGTAGTGATGGAAATTGGATCAGTGGTTGCCTGGGGTGGGGGTACAGAAGAGAGTGATGGCAGTAGAGCACAGGGGAACTTCCTGGGGTGACCAAAACACTCTCCACCTTGATTGTGGTGATGGTTACAAACATTTGTCCAAACTCATATATTAATACTATATACACTTACATTATACATTTGCTTGTTTGTAAACCATACTGCTATGGTTTGAATATCTGTCCTCTTCAAAACTCATGTTGAATCTTAATACCAGGCCCGGTGCAGTGGCTCTTGTCTATAATCCCAGCACTTAGAGAGGCTGAGGCAAAAAGATTGCTTGAGGCCAGGAGTTCAAGATCAGACTGGTCAAGATAGCAAGAACACAGTTCTGCAAAAAATTAAGTAAATTAGCTGGACATGGTGGTACATGCCTGTAATCCAAGCTACTGAGAAACTGAGGAAGGAGGATCCTTGAGCCCAGGATGTCAAGGCTGCAGTGAGCCATGATTGCACCATTGCATTCCAAGTTGGGCTGGAGAGTGAGACTCTACTGGAAAAAAATTTAAAAAAGAGGTGGGGCTTTTCAGAAGTGATTCGATCATAAGGGCTCTGTGCTTATGAATGGATTAGCCCATTCATGAATTAATGGAGTCAAAGGTTAATGGATTAATGAGCTATTATGGGAGGGGAACTTATGATTTTCTAAGAGAAAGCCCTGAGTTAGCAGCCTTAGCCCTTGGACCATGTGATGCCTGCGCTGTCTTGGAATTCTTTACAGTCCATACCAGGAAGAGGGCTCTCACCAATGTGCCCCTCAACCTTGAACTTCCCAGCCTCCATAACTGTAAGAAATAAAACACTAGGTCAGGCACGTGGCTCATGCCTGTGATCCCAGCACTTTGGGAGGTTGAAGAGGACGGATCAGCAGGTCAAAAGATTGAGACCATCCTGGCCAACGTGGTGAAATCCAGAATTAGCTGGGTGTGGTGGTGCATGCCTGTAGTTCCAGCTACTCAGGAGGCTAAGGCAGGAGAACTGCTTGAACCCAGGAGGTGGAGGTTGCAGTGAGCCAAGATTCCAGTCTGGCAACAGAGCGAGGCTCCGTCACCAAAAAAAAAAAAAAAAAGAAAGAAAGAAAGCCATTTTCTTTATAAATTTCCCATGTTCAGGTATTGTTATAAGCAACAGAAAACAGATTAAAATAAAAAGACGTACTTCAATAAAGATAATTTGAAAATAACTCCCTGAAACATGGAAGAAAATAGACCAGACTCAAACATTATCCTGCATGCAAGAATCTAGACACAAAAAGGAAGGACATAACCATAAAGATTTCGTTTATGCCAGGTCCCAAACAGTCAAAATGACTTCATGCTTATAGAAATCACAAAATGCGGCTGGGCACGGTGGTTGACGCCTGTAATCTCAGCACTTTGGGAGGTTGAGAGGTGGGTAGATCATGAGGTCAGGTTTCCAAACCAGCTTGGCCATCATAGTGAAACCCCCATCTCTACTAAAAATACAAAAATTATCTGGGTGTGGTGGCTTGTGCCTGTAGTCCCAGCTCCTCGGGAGGCCGAGGCAGGAGAATCACTCCAACCTGGGAGGCAGAGGTTGCAGTGAGCTGAGACCATGCCATTGCACTCCAGCCTGGGTGACGGAGTGGGACTTCTCAAAAAAAACAAGAAAAATGAAAAAGAAATCACAACTGTGGTCATCCTGGAGGCAGGGGTAGGTGAGAACTGATGGTAAAGGGCACAGGGGATCTTTCTGAGTTGATGAAATATCCTGTATCTTGATGGGATATAGTTACATGGGTGTATACAATTATAAACACTTAAAATCTTTGTTTGCATGTAGATTTAAAAAATCAACTTAAAAAAATGCATTCTACTCTCCCTCCTCCAAAGCATTTTACAGGGCTCAACTCTCTCTAGCTCTGGACTTCTAGCGGTGCAATGACTAAGGTTATTTTAAATTCCACATCAGGGAAAGGCCTCCATATAATAGGAAAACCAAACAGGACCTTTGAAATTGAGTCTGTCCCAGAAAATTTCTGTTGAAATCATGCCCATAAAGCAAAGCTCGGACAGGCCAATAAACCTTGTAAGTTTGGCCACATATAACATTCTTCAATTAATACAGATAGAATAAGAGTTACCTGTTTTTTTCTGTGCCCAGCGTTTCTTTCTTTCTAGAACCATGCTGGTTTCCTGCCTTCAGATCCAACTTCTTCTCCTTCCTGCTGCCCACCACTATGAAAACCCCAGGCACAACACCCCTTCCTCTCCCTGGCGTCTCTCGTCTTCCTCCTTCAGAGACAGCTGCCAAGAGCAATAGCTTTATACGCAGAAGCCCATCCTCTTCTGGTGGCTTTACGTACTGGAGCCAACCCTCTTCTGCAGCCAATGTCATTTGAAATCCCATTAAAAAAAAAAGCGGACACCCAGATTCAGATCTTTCTGAAACACAAGTGATTAGAGAGATAATAACACCTTCCTCTGACTATTCTTTTTTTTTTGAGACAGAGTCTCCCTCCATTGCCCAGGCTGAAGTACAGAGGTGCAATCTCCACTCACTGCAACCTCTGCCTCCTGGGTTCAAGTGATTTTCCCACCTCAGCCTCCCAAGAAGCTGGGACCACACACAGGTACCCGCCACCAGGCCTGGCGAATTTTTGTATTGTTAGTAGAGACAGGTTTCACCGTGTTAGCCAGGCTGGTATTGAACTCCTGACCTCAAATGGTTCGCCTATCTCAGCCTCCCAAAGTGTTGGGATTACAGGCATGAGCCACCTTGCTATGCCTTCCCCTAATTATTCTTACTAAAGTAACCTAATTTAGCTTTCCGTAGAGTGCTAAGTGATCCAGACTCTCAAAAAACTGCAAAGTAGCCCTATTTATAATCCTTTATGTTAAACTCCACCCCCTGACCAAAAACAATAAATCTTTGCTGAAACAAAGCACTCCACACAACTTCCAAATATCCAATATATGGGTCAGCATCCAATAGAACTAGGCCCAGATATCCAATATATGGGTCAGCATAGTTCTGTTGTTTGTTTTTGTAAGAGCAGAAACAAGTGATTTATTTTTTATTTTTAGTAAAGATGGGGCTTTGCCATATTGACCAGGCTGGTCTTGAACTGGCCTCAAGCAATCCGCCTGCCTCGGCTTCCCAAAGTGCTAGGATTACAGGTGTGAGCTACCATGCCTGGCCTAAATGATCTTTAAGATGCTTCAGATTTTATTTTTTCATATATGGTACCATCCTTTTTAATTTGTGCGAGGTGCTTCTGGTAAATTAATCACTCCCTTCCACATTCTGTTTATTCTCTATGTTTATATTCAGATCAATCTGGTATTAGGTGCAGCAGGAAGAATATGGGTAAGAAAACCACAAAGCTTATGGGAGCAGCTTAGAAAGTCAACTGACCCTAGCCCGGGCAAAGTAGCGAGATCATCTCTATAAAAAATACAAAAATTAGAGGGTGTAGTTGCTCATGCCTGTAATCCCAGTACTTTGGGAGGCCCAGGTGGGTGAATCTTGAGGTCAGGAAATCGAGACCATCTTGGCCAACGTGGTGAAACCCCATCTCTACCAAAAATACAAAATTAGCAGGGTATGGTGGTGTTTGCCCTTTAGTCCCAAGTACTTGGGAGACTGAGGTGGGAAGATTGCTTGAGCCCAGAAGGTCAAGGCTGCGGTGAGTGGAGATCGCACCACTGCACTCCAGCCTGGGCGACAGAGTGAAAGAAACCCAAAAACCAAAACCAAAATGAAAACAAAAAACTAAAAAGGAAAGACCATCTAGTCACTGAGATGCAGTGGAAGTATCTGATTAGATACATTGAGAGAAGGTGGGATTGCAGGGAAAAGTTTGGGTTAAACTAAAATAAAGGGGAGCCACGGTGGCTCAGGCCAGTTGTCCTGGCGCATAAGAGGTCAGGCCAGCTGGGCAACATAGAAACTTCTCATCCATTTAAAAAAAAAAAAAAGAGTAAAGAAAAGAAAAATTAAGAATCATTGGAGCTATTTAACAACTCTGTAAATTTTAACAACCGATAGCAATGTAAAATACTTTATTATCTATAGACATGCAAATAAGGTTAGCCAGTGAAGGACAAGTCTTCCTTTCCCAGTGGAAAGCCAGTTTCAATATTCCCAGACTATATTTCAATATTCAATATTCCTGATCTACAAACATACCCATTCTTTGGATTCTTCTTTAATCTGGCTATAACAGCCTCACCAGTTTCGTCATTAAAGAGTCCTGGGACTCAGAAGCCGATACCCTAAAATACGGGTCTTCGACATGCTGGAGGTCAAGGTTTCTCTGACCTTCCCTGCTCCCAACTCGACAAAGCCTTTATCTGCTTAAGATCCAGACCCACCAAAAGGAACAATTGTTTATTTTCTCTTTCCTGTAAGACTAAGAATATACCCACACCTGAGCAGACCCTTTCACAGATAATGTAGCTTCTTCTCTCCCCTGACCCATTCATTCTCCCTAGCAAGCACCTCAACAGAACTGCTCTTCTCCTCCCTTCCATAACCTGCCAGACTGGTCTAGAAGCTTCTGACACATGTTGCAGGGTGGGGTAATCAATCACTCTGATTCTGTGTGTGTGTGTGTTGCATAGATGTGTATGCATTTACCATTACATGACCTTAAGAGTCTTGTTGCTCTATTACCAACAATGACTGAAGGAAATTGGTATTTTTGTCCATTTTAGCTACTACTAGGATAATCTTATAAGTTATTTGGAAAGTTATGTTTTTGGTCCATTTAATATACGTGCCTCAATGAAAAAACACCTTTTGCCACAGGGGACACCAATGTTTCAATATTCATAGGAGCAAAACACATGAGAGTATTTTATTTTATTTTATTTTTTTGAGGCAGAGTCTTGCTCTGTTGCCAGGCTAGAGCGCAGTGGTACCATCTCGGCTCACTGCAACCTCCGACTCCCAAGTTCAAGCCGTTCTTCAGCCTCAGCCTCCCGAGAAACTGGGATTACAGGCACCCACCACCACGCCTGGCGAATTTTTGCATTTTTAGTAGAGATGGGGTTTCACCGGAGGGCCAGGCTGGTCTGGAACTCCTGACCTCAAGACCTCAAGTGATCTGCCCTCGCAGCCTCCCAAAGTGCTGGTATTACAGGCATGAGCCACGAGCCCAGCCTGAGAGTACTTTTAGAAAACATTATTTCTTTATCCTTTTCAAACCTGAAGCACTTCAAAAGTCCCAACCTTTTGCGACATTGATTTGGTAAATAGATGTCACGTTGTTATTTGATGACTTAGGTATCCTTTCCAGCAGTGTTATTGTAAGGTGTAGTGTTTTCCTTTAATTTCAATTAACTAAATTTCAAGTGGTTCCCCCCAAACCCCTGCTCTCTTAAATTCAAACTCATCTCTATTTTCCTCACTAGGAAAGACCTTTTTTCCATCCTTGGATTGGAATTTGGAATTCTGTGCTAAAATGCCTTTCAGTTAAAATCTGTGAACGCGAGTTATAACCCTAGGAGGTGCCGGCACTTTACGAAAATCGTGGTTTTGTTTAATCTGCTTTCCCAGAAGGCTGCGAATGGGAATTCCAGACAAACCCACTTGGGTGAGTCACAGCACGCGAGCTGTGGCCTCCTCACGCGGCTCGGAGTGTATAGCCCAGGCCCGCGGATCCAGGAGCCCGCCCCCAGCTCTCCAAACCCGGGAAGAGAGAAGCGACATTGCTGAGAGCAAGGGATGACGGTGCTCCTTCAATTAATTCGCCCCCGAGGTGTTCTTACCTACACAAGGGGGTCTCTGTTCACCAGATCGCTCACTTGCGGGACGACCACGTACCCGCAGCTGTCGGATGGATCCAGGCGCTCTTGATGGGGCGGGGGCGGAGCCTGCCTGGCCTGGAGCCCGGGCCACGCCCCCACGTTTTGCATATGCGAGTCGGGGCCTCCAGACCTTTAATCGCAGTGGGGAAGCCCAGGTTTCCAGGAGCCGGGACCGGTTTTCTGGGCGAAAACAGTCAACTCCGCGGAAAGGAGCAACTTAAGTAATACACTGACATTCAGCATAATGAAGCAGGATGGCCTGAATCCAACGTCGATCGTTTGCTCTATTTATAAATATGTCCTTTCTTGTGAATCCAAGGCTGGCTATGACCCCCACTCTACACTGAAGAAAGTGAGGCAGAAGGAAGCAGGCCTCCCCTTCCCCTCCCGTCCTCCTCCCGTCCTCCTCCCGTCCTCCTCCCCTCCTTCTCCCCTCCTTCTCCCTTCCTTCTCCCCTCCTTACCCTTCTCCTCCACCTCCTCTCCCCTCCTCTTTCCCTCCCCTTCCCTTCCCCTCCGGTCCTCCTCCCCTCCTTCTCCCCTCCTTACCCTTCTCCTACCCCTTCCCCTCTCCTCCCCTTCTCCTCCCCTTCCCCTTTTGCTCTACTTCCCTCTCCTCCCCTCCTCTCTTCCTTTCCTTCCTTCCTTCCTCTCTCTCTGTTTCTTTCTTTCTCTTTTTCTTTTTTTCTCTTTCTCACTCTCTCTTTTTCTTTCCTTTTCTCTTTCTTTCTTTTAGACAGGGTCTCACTTCATCTCCCAGGCTGGAGTACAGTGGTGCAACCCCAGCTCACTGCAACCCCGATCTCCCAGTCTCAGTGATCCTGCCTCAGCCTCCCGAGTAGCTGAGCTTGCAGGTAGGTGCCACCACGTCACATTATTTTATTTTTGTGGAGACAGAGTCTCACTATCTTGCTCAGGCTGGTCTCGAACTCCTGAGCTCAAAGAATCCTCCTACCTTGGCCTTCCAAAGTGTTGAGATTATAGGTGTGAGCCACTGCACTCAGCCTACAAATAGTTTATATACTAATGTGAAACTTCTTATTAAAAAGAGGATTTTTTTAAAAAAAGTATTACAAAGTACTTTTTGGTTAAAATGGAAAAAAGATTTTTATTTTTGTTCTTCTCTTTGTGGAATTGAAAACCACCCCCCTGAAGATAAACACTGCGTGGCTTCTAAGGGCTACTAGCAGAAGTGAAATGGATTAAAAGACCCCCAGGTGTCTTGGTTTTCTGTCCTACAGCTCTGTCCCGCATTTTCTGTTTTCATCCTCCTGTGATTTGTGAAAAGTCCTGAGCTGAACATCAGGTATAGGAGTTCCCTGATCATTGTGCCACAAGGAGCCCTTGCAAATTGCTGTATTCTCCCAGAGAGTATTGTGAAATTTCCTTAAAGGCTGAAGGTGTCATGATTTCCTCCACACCTCTTGATGAGGATGAGTTCAAATTGGATCTTGAGAAGTTTACTCTGATTCTCTAATATCTCATAAGCCATAGTCTAAGTCACAGAGAGGTATTGAGGAATTCATTTATGCATAGAAACATAAATGACACATTTGCAGATTAAATGGACATGACATTTGAGTTTGATGCTATACAATTGTGTGGGGAGATGGGTGTGGATGGGGTCATAGATGAGAAAAGATTGGCAGTGTGTTGATTGTTGTTTACTTGGGTGATTGTTCTTAGAAACTGATTGTACTGTTTTTCAGTTTTGTATATATTTGGCATTTCCCATAACACAAAATATTTTAAAAATCATTTATTCTTACTGGGCACAGTGGCTAATGCCTGGAACCCAGCACTTTGGGAGGCCAAGAAGGGTGGATCGTTTGAGCCCAGGAGTTCGAGACCAGCTTGGGCAGCATTGTGAGACCTTTTCTCTACAAACATACAAAAATTAGTCAGGCATAGTAGTAGCATGCGCCTGTAGTTCCAACTGCTTGGGAGGCCAAAGTGTGATGTTGGCTTGAGCCTAGGAGGCGGAGGTTGCAATGAGCTGAGATCATGCCATTGTACTCTAGCCTGGGTGACAGAGCCAGACCCTGTCTCGAAACAACAACAACAACAAAAACCACACACACAAAATAATTTATTCATTAAGAAGTTATTTATTCCTTTCGGTCCCGGCAGCGGCAGGACTGAACCAGGGACGCCTTCCCTTCGTTTTCAGTGCCCGCTCCAATGCCGGCCCTGCCACCATCACGGAACAGGCCGTCATCTACTTTGCCAAAAGCGTCCTGGCAGGAGGCATGGCCGCCGCCATCTCCAAGACCGCCGTGGCCCGGATCCAACGGGTCAAGCTGCTGCTGCAAGCAGCACAAAGGCATCGTGGACCTCATCGTCCGCACCCCAGGGAGTAGGGCGTGCTGTCCTTTTGGAGGGGCAACCTGGCCAACGTCATCCGCTACTTTCCACGCAAGTCCTCCACTTGGCCTTCGAGGATCAGTACAAGCAAATCTTCCTGGCGTTAGGGGGGTGGGGCGGGGGCAAGCACACACCTTTAGTTCCAGAGGTACTTTGCAAGTAATCTGGCTCCCTGTGGTTCGGTCGGCGCGACCTCCCTCTGCTTCATGCACCCCCGGGATTTCGCCAGAACCCTCCCGGCAGCCGACGTGGGGAAATCCGGCACGGAGCGCATGTTCCAAGGCCTGGGAGACTGCCTGGCGAAGGTCACCAAGCCCAACAGCGTCCGGGGCCGGTACCAGGGCTCCAGCGTCTACCCGGCCACGGCGTCTACCTCCAGTGCAGGGCATCATCATCTACCCGGCCGCCTACTTCTGCGTGTACTACACGGCCAAGGGCATCCTCCCTGATCCCAAGAACACGCACATCGTGGGGAGCTTGATGATCGCGCAGACGGTGGCGCCCGTGGTCGGTGTGGTCTCCTACCCCTTCCACCCGGTGCAGCCGCGGAGGATGATGCAGTCCCGGCGCAAGGGAGCTGACATAGGTACACGGGCACCACCGACTGTTGAAGGAAGATCTTCAGAGACAGGCGGGCAAGGCCTTCTTCAAATGTCCTCAGGGGAAAGGGGGGCGCCTTCCTGCTGGTCCTGGACGACGAGCTGAAGAAGGTCATTTAAGGGACTCAGTTGCCTCCTTTACACACACATCAAGGGAACCAAGAGAACCACGTAGAATCCTCAGCCATGCGGACCATTGACCTTCGAGAAATTCCAGTCGTCTTTTTCCCAGCCGGATCCTCCCTGTAGATGGCCAGGGAAGGCTCTAGAAAAGGGGTGCCTTGTGATCCAACCATTGGCACCCAATGCCATGTCTTGATCACTGGGGGAAGGGAACCATGGTGTCCTGACAGGCCCACAGGTGAAACACTCCAATACTCAGACCTAGAGTCCAGCCATTTGTAGGACCCAAGTCGTGTTTAAGTATTTATTTAAAACAAAAGAATTATGTTTCCCATTTGTACTTTAACAAAAATTATTTATTGAGTACCTGCTATGTGCTCGACACTGTCCTAGGTGCTTGGGATATATTTGTGAACAAAGTTAAAAATCTCTGCCTTGTCACTTACATTCTAGCTTGGGATGGGGTGTGTAGAGGGAATACCAAATAGTAAACACGATGAGGTAGTGAATTTTATAGTGTGTTAGAAAGTGTTAAGTGTGTGGATTTAATGGAAATGGTAATCCCATAAAGAAGTTGATGGAGAAGAGGACTAAGCCCGAGACTTGGGTCTCCAACTTGGGAAAGAACCTGCAGGGAGGCTGAATGAGAGAAGGAGGAGAGGGAGCCGCAGTGTCTTAGGGAGTTGCTAAACACCGTGTACCTCTCTAATACACTTCCTCTTGCACTGATACTCAACAATGTGGCTGCAATTATGTCCATGAAAATCTATTCGAGGTGGAGCGTAGTGGCTCATGCCTGTAATCCCAGCACTTTGGGAGGCCAAGGTGGGTAGATCACCTGTGGTCAGGAGTTTGAGACCAGCCTGGCCAACATGGTAAAACCTTGTCTCTACTAAAAATGCAAAAATTAGCCAGGCATGGTGCCTCGAGTAACTAGTAAATTAGTCTGAGCACCCCTGTAATCCCAGCTAGCTACTTTACAGGCTGAGGTAGGAGAATTGCTTGAACCTGGGAGGTGGAGATTGCAGTGAGCTGAGATTGCACCACTGCACTCCAGCCTGGGCAACAGAGAGAGACCCTGTTTCAAAAAAAAAAAAAAAATCTAGTTGAATAATTGATATAAGAGTGGAGAAAAGTGGCTAGGGAAAGAAAATCTCACATTAGTAAGTAGGTGAATTTATCTGTTTCACTCTTAAATGTTAACTCTTTGAAGGCTAAGATTTGTTTATCTTTAGCTTTCTATCTTGGCCTAATATAGAGCAGTCATATATTTGCAGAGTAGATAAGTAAAAAACAGGTGGAAAGTTAGTGTGAAGCTGTGACTTGCCATGCTGGACCATCCAACACTTCCAACCATAATTGAGTTGCAGATGTTGGAGCTCATAAACTGATGCCCCAAAATACGATGCCTGGACATACTGAACTGCAGAAGCCTAAAGGTCTCTTTGACTTCCCGACAAGGTCTCCTCCGAAGAAGCTGAAGTCCCTTTGTCTGCCTCAGATCTAGACCCACCAAGGGGCACTATTGTTTTTTCTTCCCCTTCTTGTAAGACTAAGAATGTAACCACACTTGAACAGACCCTTTCATTGTCAAAGAGAACAGACTTTCAAATTAATCTCAGTTCCTGATCCTTTACTGTCATGGTAAAGTATCTCCACTCTTATATCAATTATTCAACTAGATGAGAATAGAAGCTTCTGAACCCTGTTGGGAGGTGGGCATGCACTGTGCTTCTCCTAGCGCAAACATCAATATATTTGTCTGCCTTTTCCTTTCTTTTCTTCTCCTTTTCTTTTTTTAATTGCTCACAGTAGAGTGCAGTGGCACCATCTCAGCTCACTGCAACCTCTGCCTCCCAGGTTCAAGCAATTCTTGTGCTTCTGTCTCCCGAGTAGCTGGAATTACGGATGTGTGCCACCACACCTGGCTAATTTTTGTATTTTTAGTAGAGATGGGGTTTCACTGTGTTGGCCAGGATGGTCTCGCACTCCTGGCCTCAAGTGATCTGCCGGCTTCAGCCCCCAAAAGTTCTGGGTGTATGCCTTTTCTCTAGTGAATTTACCTTTTCTGTGAGTTGGTTTTCAGTGAAGCTTCAGGGGTGGGGGTAAGGGGGAAATTTTTTGTTGACCCCAACACAGACCGACATCATGGGAGACAAGATGTGTAGACGAGCCCAGGAATTCCTGTGACGCTGATGACCAAAGATTGGAATTGATTTCCAAATTTCTATCTTTATTATAAAATCTGCTACAGGATAGTGTGGGACCTAGCACACACTAACCGAAACCCATTTAAAGATCATGCATGATCTTTACATATCACCCATGTCTTTTGCTCTGTTGGCCTCACTAATGCAAGGTACACATCCTACAGAGCAAGAGATGGCTGAGAATATGGAGAGATTATTCTTTTTATTAAGGAAGAGTAGTTTTTTTTTTTTAAACAGGGACACGGAAACAGGAAAGAAGTTAGTGAATGTACAATATGAAACAACAAGAAATCCATCATAAGGAATTTCTTTCAAAAAAGGTATTAGGTTTCACGATTTTATTTTGTTAAGCTCATAATACAAACAGATTTTTGATGTGGGTGGCTGTGCTTCCACACTTCTGTTGATAATATATGCTAATCTTTTGTCTTTTTCCCAATGAAGACAAGATTACAAAAATGACAGAGAATAATAGCATAGCAGCACAGTAGCATAATAGCATAATGCTAAGTCCTGATACAGGGAGAAGAAATGGAAGCAGTCATACCACCACAAAGGAAGAAAAACAACCCTGAGACTTCAGACCACAAGGGACAGGATGAGCAATTCCAAGGCATCCAGGTAGATGAGGCAGGACAGAAGCAGAAAGGTAGAGTGGAGGAAAGTTTCACCAAATTCTGTGAAGAAAGCCTCAGCATTTCTTAGGCTAGAGGCCGAGCCAGGCTGCCCCGCCTAGCAGCAGCATTGCTTCTGGCAGCAGCACTTTTGCTGACAGCATCCTTTCTGCTGACAACAGCCCTTCCCACAGCCACAACCACATGAGCTGCAGGTGCGGCGGCAGCAGCAGATCACGGGTGTGCTGCAGCAGCCTCCACAGCAGCCGCGGCAGCAGGGGCAGCAGCTGGAGCAGCAGCCCACCCGGTAGCACCTGCAGGTGGTGCAGCTGCCACAGCCACCGCAGCCACCACAGCCACCACAGCCACCACAGCTGCCACCGCAGCCACCACTGCAGCCACCACAGCCACCACTGCAACCACCACAACCACAGCAACCCATGGTGTCACTAGAGAGGACTCAGGCAAAATGATGAGGGAGGACTTGGGAGAAGTAAGGATGTCTGATGCTCTTTGCTTCAGGGGCTCTTATATACCCCTTTCAGGCCTAACATGTGGCAGGTGGCCACTTCCTTTTTCCTCCAGCTTCCCTGGAGGAATTTCACAAGACCCTGAGTGTATTTCCTCATTGAACACCTCTGACCTCATAGAATTGCTTATTTTCACATTTCTTCCTCAAGTTATGCTTTCTAATAAAAACAGCATGTTTCTTAAATATTTAGTGTTTTTTTTTTTTGAGACCCAGGCTAGAGTGCAATGGCGGGATCTCTGCTCACCGCAACCTCCACCTCCTGGGTTCAAATGATTCTCCTGCCTGAGCCTCCTGAGTAGCTGGAATTACAGACACATGCCTCCATGCCTGGCTAACTTTTTTGTATTTTAGTAGAGACAGGGTTTCACCATGTTGGTCAGGCTGGTCTCAAACTCCTTACCTCATGATCTGCCCACCTCAGCCTCCCAAAGTGCTGGGATTACAGGCATGAGCCACTGTACCCAGACTAGTTTTGTTTTAACCTAGCAGTTTTGAAGTGTGATCTATGAATCTCATTTGATGAAAGCCCATCTCAGCCTGGAGAGGATCTTTCCCTTGGTTTTCCCTTCCTCTAAAGGAAGTCTTTTCTGTCTTCAGGTGCTGTCTGCAGATTGCAAGAGAAGGCGAGATCCCACATGGAGAAGCAAAGCACTCAAAGCGTCACATGCCAAAAGTTCCCTTGGCTAACATCTCAGAAGACTTTCTCATCTGTTTTCAGACTTACTTTTGCTATTGATACATAAGTCAAAATATGGGAAAGATATCCATCTGGAGTTGATTGTCACAATGTATTTTTAAGTGAGCTTCCCACACTGGCTCATGTTTCCCCCTCTTATCCTATACTCATGGAGTAGTGGTTGAGGTAGCCAAGAGCCTCTGCCACCAGCTGATTTCATGTCCCTAAAAAAGCCATGGTCCCTATGTAACCCAGTTTCCTTAGCTTAGAGTAAATCATGTATAATCTTTTAAAAGACTTTATTTTTTAGAGAAATTTTGGGTTGACATCAAAACTGAGCCGAGGGCTGCGCGCAGTGGCTTATGCCTGTAATCCCAGAACTTTGGGAGGCAGAGGCAGGTGGATCACTTGAGGTCAGGAGTTTGAGACCAGCGTGGTAAACATGGTGAAACCCCATCTCTACTAAAAAATACAAAAATTAGCCAGGCATCATGGTGGGACCTGTAGTTCCAGCTACTCGGGAGGCTAAGGCAAGAGAATTGCTTGAACCTCGGAGGCGGAGGTTGCAGTGAGCCAAGATCAAGACCACTGCACTCCAGCCTGGGTGGCAGAATGAGACTGAGTCTCAATAAAGTAAACTAATATCTGAGCCAAAAGTACAGAGTTCCCATATACCCCCATTCTCCCCAACACAGTGTCCTTCACTACTGACATCCCATGCCAGGGTGGCACATTTGTTACAACTGGTGAACCTACAATGACACATCATAATGACCCAAAGTCCATGGTTTTCATCAAGGATCACTCTTGTCTTCTTTCATTACCCTGGGTACTTAGCCCCTTCAGAATCATATGTCTGGCTGGGTGTGGTGGCTCATGCCTGTAATCTCAGCACTTTGGGAGGCTGAGGCAGGTGGATCACCTGGGCCAACATGGTGAAACCTTGTCTCTACTAAAAAAACAGAAATTAGCCAGTATGGTGGCTCATGCCTGTAGTCTCAGCTATGAGGGAGACTGAGGCATGAGAATTACTTGAACTCGGGAGGCAGAGGTTCAACAGCCTGGGCAACAAAGACTTGGTCTCAAAGAAGAAAAAAAAAGAATCATATGTCCTAGGAATTGTCTCCAAAAAATTAAGAGAACGGAAGATCTCATGTAAAGTCCTTCAGCAACCTTCAAGGACTATTCCTAAACTTGCATCCTTTTCCAGAGTGCTATGATCTGGGGTATTCCCCCTTGCGTTTCTGTAGAGAAGTGGATCTCAGTGAGGGACAATTTTGCCCCCAGAAGACAATCAACAACATCTGAAGACATTTTTGCTTGTTATAACTGGCAGAGATGTTGTCATAACCAGTGGCTTGAGACCAGACTGCTCGACAACATTCTACAATGTGCGGGACAGTCCCCACAACAAGGAACTGTCTGGCTGAAAATGTCAGTAGCCCCAAGCATGACAAGTCCTGGGGTATTTAGTGTTTTTTTCTTTCTAAAGCGTTTTCACATCCATTATTTCAAAACAATATAATTGCCTGAGATTTGCCTTTAAAAAATTATTTCCCAATTAGGTAACAAAGATGCATTGTGCCCATGCCAGGTAAAATGTTCTGGACTGGGGCCTGGCATGGTGATTACACCTGTAAGCCCAGCATTTTTGGGAGGCTGAGGCAGGAGGATCGCTCGAGTCCAGGAATTTGAGACCAGCCTGGGCAACATAGCAATACCAGCATCTCTACAAAAAATAAAAAAATTAGTCAGGTGTGGTGGCGTGCACCTCTAGTCCTAGCTACCTGGGAGGCTGAGGTGAGGACCACTTTAGCCCAAGAAGTTAATGGTGCAATGAGTCATGATCATGTCCAATCTGTGTGACAGAGTGAGGTACTGTGTCCAAAAAAAAAAAAGAAAGAAAAAGCCTGTGCTGTGCTGGAAGATTCTGTAGCTGAACAATTTGAGCCATGATTTGGCCTGTGATTTAGAGCAGGAACTAAGGCTGGGGCTGGGGGTGTGGTCAGGCCATCTCTATCAGACTGTGTGAAATTGAGCAATATGGGTCACGTCAGTTGATTTCAAACATGTCCTGGGTGCTAATCAACAAAATATATGCACATGATTAAAATAATTCCACAGTTCCTTCTCCCGTCTCACCTTCTTCTCTAGTCCACTAAACAGACGCAGCATTATCCTCCTGTCAGCTTCTCCTGGGAGCTGCCTCCGTGTTTCTTATTAATTTCTCTATTCCTTTTCTTTTTCTTTTTCTTTTTTTTTTTTGAGACAGAGTCTCGCTCTGTCACCAGGCTGGAGCGCAGTGGCACGATCTCGGCTCCCTGCAACCTCTGCCTCCTGGGTTCGAGTGATTCTTCTACCTCAGCCTCCCGAGTAGCTGGGACTACATGCACATACCATCACACCCAGCTAATTTTTGTATTTTTAGTGGAGACAGGCTTTCACCATGTTGGCAAGGATGGTCTCAATCTCTTGACCTCATGATCCACCTGCCTTGGTCTCCAAAGTGCTTGGATTACAGGCATGAGCCACCTCGCCCGGCCTATTCCTCAATTTCTTAATTGCCAATGCTAGTTTCTGTTAAGATGGATGGAAATTTAACTTTCTTGTATCATTCCTAATATATTTGTATTACTAGTTCTTGTGATATTCAAAACCAATGGTAACTTGATTATTATAATATAAATATTGCTCACTTGAGTCAAATAGTCTACTATAATTACATTTCCTGAAGCAGTCTTATTTTTCTTAAGTATTGGATTTAATTCTTTCTCTCTCTCTTTTGTAACTTTTTGCTTTTATGTATTTTGATCTATTTGCTATTGTCAGCAATATAATGTTTCATGTAGATTTTCCTCTTGGACAGCAATTGATAAAACTTTTCAAGCAGCCAAGCTTATTCTTATTCTACTTACACAATGCTTTCTTATTTTAAATGCCATGTGAATTGTATGAAAAAAAGATGAATCACTGTGAAGGTTTACTTGTGTTTTATAAGCACTCACTGAATGTAATTTATTTATTTATTTTTTGAGCCAGGGTCTCACTCTGTCACCCAGGCTGGAGTATAATGGTGTGATCTTGGCTCACTGCAACCTCACCTCCCAGGTTCAAGCGATTCTCCTGCCTCAGCCTACCAAGCAGCCGGGACTACAGGTGCACAGCACCATGCTGGGATAATTTTTGTATTTTTAGTAAAGATGGGGTTTCACCATGTTGGCCAGGCTGGTCTCGTACTCCTGACCTCAGGTGATCCACCCACCTTGCTCTCCCAAAGCGGCAGATTACAGACATGAGCCACCGTGCCTGGCCAACACAATGTTAGATATACCGAATAATGAAACATAGAGCCAGGCTTTATAACTGTGTAGTGGGGAGCAAAACCTTCCATTCTCAGGTCAACAATCCCCAGTGAGAGTATCTGGCTGCTTCTGCAGTTGGCAATGACATTTGTGCCCAAGACACCTGTCATTTCTCCAGTCTGGTAAGATACCTTCTGGGCACTAAAGGAATACCCTCCTGATAATGTTTATTTGTTGTTCAAACATTGGACCATCCATTCAAGCACTGCTGCTGTACTGTGTGGGCTTTCTGAGAGTGCCCAAGACTGTTGATGATACCCCCTTTCCCATGGATCTCAGGAGGGCTTACTGCAACTTTTAGGACATTTGACTCAGAAAACAAACAAAACAGGTAAACTCATAAACCTAGTTCCCATTCCAAAGGGCAGTTAATAATATATTATGAAATTCTCCCATGGCAGTTGACCCAAACAATAACAAGGAAGTGGTCACGTGTTTACCTCTCCTCTCCCAAGAGTTGGTACATAAGGGCCTCCCCCAGCAGAAGGAGGCATCAGACCTCCTCACCTCTCAAGTCCTCCTTCCTCACTTCTCCTGAGTCCTCTCTACTGACACCATGGGTTGCTGTGGTTGTGGTGGCTGTGGTGGTGGCTGCGGTGGTGGCTGCGGTGGTGGCTGCGGTGGTGGCTGTGGCAGCTGTGGCGGCTGTGGCAGCTGCACCACCTGCAGATGCTACCGTGTGGGCTGCTGCTCCAGCTGCTGCCCCTGCTGCCGCGGCTGCTGTGGGGGCTGCTGCAGCACACCTGTGATCTGCTGCTGCCGCCGCACCTGCAGCTCGTGTGGCTGTGGTTGTGGGAAGGGCTGTTGTCAGCAGAAGGGCTGTTGTCAGCAAAAGTGCTGCTGTCAGAAGCAATGCTGCTGCTAGGCGGCCCCTGGCCTCTGGGAAGATGCTGCAGGTAACTAACTGTCCTGTTGGTAAACTTTTCTCTCTCTCCTACCAGTCTTGCTGATTTGAAAGTCACAAGAAGTTTTATTCATATTCCCTGGTCTCTGAGATCCTGGCTGCACATGAAAACCACCAACACAAACCTTCTCTGTCAATCACCAATCAAAGTATGAGCCCAATGGAACAGAGGGGTATTTTCAATGCTATGTTTTCTCGAGATTTTACTATTGAAATGTGTGTTGCTATTCCTTTCTCCTTCTTTCTGTAGCTTCTGTATCTTGCATCTCTGCTCCTCCTTTCTGTTTCTGTAAACCTGAGATAATATCTTCCCAATAAAGCACATAAAATTGGTATCAAATACTCATGGACATCTCTCTTTCATTATTTTAATGTGTCTAAAGGAAAGATGCGATTACATCTAGAAAAGTAAGACTCCCTGTGTTTGTTTGTGATGGATTTAGAATAACCACTAATAAACCAGGTGTGGTGGCTCACACCTATAATCCCAGCACTTTTGGAGGCCAAGGTGGGCAAATCTCTTGAGGTCACGACTTCGAGACCAGTCTGGCCAAGATGGTGAAGCCCTGTCTCTACTAGAGATACAAAAAAATAGCTGGATGTGGTGGTGCGCACCTGTAGTCCCAGCTGCTTGGTAGACAGAGGCAGGAGAATCACTTTGAACCTGAGAGGTGGGGGTTGCAGTGAGCTGAGATAGTGCCACTGCACTTTAGCCTAGGTAACAGAGTGTCTCAAAAAAAAAGAAAAATAAAAGAAAAAGAAAAAAGAAAGAAAGAAAAGAAATCATGAATAACATGTTCCTAACAGGTTTTCACACACTGGTAAAAGTTTGGAGGCTTCAATTATCCTCTTACCTGAATTAGAAAAAGGATTCAGAAAACTGTATCAATGAGCTCTCATTTCATCACTTTCTCTACCCTTATATTCAACTTTTCTAACAAATTTTAACCTCAGCATCTACAGTCAGATGAAATTCAACACCTAAAGCTATTTAAGCTATTTAGGTCTTGGTTACTTTGGTTTTGGTTCTATTAACAGACTAAAATTTGATTACAGCTTAATGAAATTATCACCAGTACTAGTGAACAGTCCTTCTGGCAGATTATGGTCACAAAATACTAATGTGGTCATATTTGAATAAATCTATTAGTAAAAGTTGTGACCCATTAAAACACTTTATCCACTTTAATTATATTCTCTTTTCTTTCTTTTTCCTTTTTTTATGAGATAGAGTCTTACTCTTGCCCAGGCTGGAGTGCAGTGGTGCAATCAATCTTGGCTCACTGTCACCTCTACCTCCCAGGTTCAAGTGATTCTTCCACCTCAGCCTCCTGAGTAGCTGAAATTACCAGCACCCACTACCACACCTGGCTAATTTTTGTATGTTTAGTTGAGATAAGGTTTCACCATGTTGGCCAGGCTGGTCTCAAACTCCCAACCTCAGGTGAGTTGGCCTTGGCCTTCCAAAGTGCTGGGATTACAGGCATGAGCCACTGCACTCAGTCAATCAGAATATAATATAATTAATTATATTCTATCACAAGTAAGTAAGAATATTATAAGAAAAAAATACAGAGGGTCACAAGGGGTGGCTTTCATAACACATCTGTGAGTCTCCTGAAAGTGAGACATATGGTGTCTGTTGAAAAATCCATCTTCTGAATGTAGTTAGTGTGCTTTGTTTTTCATGAGATATCCGTTAAGAATTTTGAGCCTAACTCTGTTCTCTGTTGAGATGGAGAAAGAGGCAGAAGGGTTCTCCGTGGGGTCGGCTGCCACCCTGGGCCTGAGAAAGGTGATTTACTAATTCTTGCTCCTGGACCACAGAGGTCCCTTGTCTTTCTCGTCTATTCTTGGAAGCACTCACAGAAAGCAGATACTTTAGAAGTACTACAGTAAAAGAGCTGTAGAAGAGGCTACTGCAGGGGCAAGTTCAAAGTCTACATCAAATGGTAACAGCACAGACACTTCCAAAGAGAAGCTGTTGCGAGGGTTTCACAGGCTCAAGGAAAAATGGGCACTTCTTGCCTGACTCACGTGTGTCTCCATATGGACCTAAGAGATGAGGGGCTACAGTATAATTATTTCTTGTGATTATCTGTCAGTTTCAGCATCAATATGTGGATCAAAAGAACCAGGTAATAATATAAAGCAGATGAATTTGCTTCAGCATGTATCTGGCAGTCACAAACTTTGCATCAGACACTGTGGTGGGTACAGCAGGACAAGCAAAAATGAGCAAGGGCTGGGACCACATCTGCACTAATGGGGGGGATTGGATCTGACTGATACAGTCTTTAGTGCTGAGCCTAACAGCAAAACCAAAAATATGCATCAGTAGTGTAATATTTTTATAGGTACATTATATTCACTCATTTTACAAATATTTATTGAGTATCTAAATGCACTAGGCACTTTTCTAGGAATCAAGAATGCTTTAATGAACAAAACAGATACAAATGCCTGTCCTCATGGGCCAGGTGCAGTGGCTTACACTTGTAATCTCAGCATTTTGGGAGGCTGAGGCAGTCCGATTGCTTGAGCTCAGGAGTTCAAGACCAACCTGAGTAACATGGCAAAACCCCATCTCTACAATAATAATAATTAGGCATGGTGGTGCATGCTTGTGGTCCCAGCTACTGGGGAGGGGCTGAGGGGGGAGGATCACTTGAGCTTAGGAGGTTGAGGCTTCCATGAGCCAAGACTGCACCACTGCACTCCAGTCTGGACCACAGAGGGAGATCCTTTTTTTAAAAAAAAAAGTATTAAAAAAAGTCTGTCCTCATGTAACTAGTAACCTGGTCATGGTGGGAAGTAGACAACACACATCATAAATAAGTATTTTATATGGCATGTTAGAGACAGAGAGACAGAACATACAAGTGAACAGTGGCCAGATCATATATAGAAATAGATCTCTGACCTGTGAACTGCAGCCAACATCCCAGGAAACCAACCTATTATCTATCCTAACCAGCCTATCTGCCAGCCTACTTGCTACAGTCAGACTTATAGGAAGTCAGACTGCTATCTCTTAAAAACAGTCCAGGAAGCCAAATGAGGACCATTGGCCCCAAATGGCCAGGACTTGATTAATAACTGACAGTTTCTCTAATTCTTATCCCCTTTTTCCAATTTAGGACCAGTTAGAGAGAGTTGAATATGCACTCCTAACCAATCATGTAAGATGCCCCACTTCTAGTTAGTCTGTGTACAACTTCCCATGCCAATAGCTTCTCATCTGGGCATACCTGAAACTTTCCCTTTTTCCAGTATGAAGCTTTCCCACTCCTCTGCCTGCCTTTGAGTGTTCACAAAAACACAAGTGATGCTGTGGCAAACCGTCACTTTGCTATGGCAAGCACAATTAAATAGCCTTTATCTGTACTACTTTTGTGGGTTGTCATTTATTTCCACAAGACTCAGTAATTTCATTCCTAAGTGTGTGTAAATTCTATAGACACATACAAGAATGCTCACGGTAGCACTGTCAAAAATAGCAAAAACCTGCAAACAATGGGACTTCCTATCAGCTGGAGAGTAAATGAACAGAAATGGAATGCATCAGAAATGGAATATATCAGACAAGTGAATGTAGTAAAACCATGTTCAAAGAAACACAAAGGAATAATGAATGCAAGCTTTTTTTGTTTTTGTTTTTCAGACAAGGTCTTATTCTGTGTTGGGAATAGATACTTGGTGGTGCCACAAAGAAAAATCAGCACTGAGAAAAAGGATCTTTCAGGAAGCAATTTTTACTTCCTGGACTACAGGAAGAGTACTCTCGCTAGCCATTTCGCTACAAGAGCGCAAGGAACAAATGAAACAGACACATTTTTCCCTTATGCGTGTGGGACCACCCTTACTGCTGTGTCTGATCTCTGTTGGCTGGAGCCAGACCTCACAATCTAAACTAAAACCCGATTGGCTAACAATTTAAAACTCTTCTAAACAGGTAAAAGTAATGGAGAGCTGGGACATGCCTGTAAGCACATCTAGTACAGATATCTTGGTTAAAGTACAAGGATATAAAATGTACTACGTGCCTATAAGCATGGCATGTTTAACAGCCACATGGGATAGGGCTTAGCAAAGTTATTAGCACACTTATTCTTTAACAAGAAAGGAAACTTTAAAAAGGAACTTTTCTACCTCCCATATTCTATTGCCCAGGCTGTAGTGCAGTGTCACAACTATGGCTCACCATAGCCTTGATCTCTGGGGTTCAAGTGATCCTCCTGCCTCAGCCTCCTGAGTAGCTGAGACTACACATGCTCTACTATGCCTGGCTAAATTTTAAGTTTAGTATAGACTAGGTCTTGCTATGTTGCCTGATCTCAAATTCCTGAACTCAAGCAATCCTCCTGCCTCTGCCTCCAAAAGTGTTGGGATTACAGGTGTGAGTCACCACTCTTAGCTGAACACAAGCTGTAGGGCAAGGACAACCTTGGGTGTAGGAGGGCAGAAGGACAGGTTGGGCAGTGAGGAGCCTTAAGTTAGATCATACTGTCAAGGTCCTGAACTGTTACATCATTAAAATAATTAACAAAATTCCACTCAGAGACCTAATTTGAAAGTCAGTAATTACAAAGATGACAGGTGGATAAATTTACAATGACGGGGAGAAACCAGCATAAAAAGGCTGAGAATACTCAAAATCAGAATGCCTCTCCCTCTACAGGGGATCACAGTTCCTCATCAACAAGGGAACAAGGCCTGATGGAGAACGAGTGCATTCAAATAACAGAATTAGGCTTCAGAAGGTGGATAATAAGAAACTTCTGTGAGTTAAAAGAACATGTTCTAGCCCAATGTAAAGAAACTAAGAACATTGAAAAAAGGCTTGACGAAATCCTAATGAGAATAGACAATTTAGAGAGGAATATAAGTGAATTAATGGAACTGAAGAATACGATAGGAGAACTTCGTGAAGTATGCACAGGTTTTAACACTCGAATTGATCAAGCAGAAGAAAGGATATCAGAGGTCAAAGACCAACTTAATGAAATGAAACAGGAAGACAAGATTAGAGAAGAAAAAGTAAAAAGGAATGAGCAAAGTCTCCAAGAAATATGGGACTATGTGAAAAGACCTAATTTACATTTGATAGGTGTACCTGAATGTCATGAAGAGAATGAATCCAAGCTGGAAAATATTCTTCAGGATATTATTCAGGAAGACTTTCCTAACCTAGTAAGGCAGAACAATACTCAACTCCAGATAATATAGAGAACATCACAAAGATATTCCTCAAGTAGAGCAACCCCAAGACACATAATCATTAGATTCACCAGGGTTGAAATAAAGGAGAAAATTCTAAGGGCAGCTAGAGAGAAAGGT